GGGAGGGCAGATTAAACATTTTCAAGGAAGACACTTTCCCAGGGAGCAGCACAATGCAATTTGCTTTTAAAAACCTATAGAAAGCGTATCCAGTCTTGCTGCCAAAGTCTGGCTCACAGGAGTCTGAGTAAAACACATGTGCAATTGCATTAGAGCAAACAAAAGCCCTAAAGCCTGATTTAGACCGAGTGGGACTACTTGATAAAGACCAAAAAGAACGTAAGATTACTTGTTTCTCCGAGCCACCTGTCCTTAGCTTTAGATCAGCTCTGCAGAAAGGAGCCCCCTGAACGTGCAGCACAGACATGATCTGTGATCTGCAGGGAAAGGTGGTGTTCCCACGGCTCTCAAACAACAACCTCAGCCAGGGCAGCAGCTCCCATCAGAAAATATGGTTAAACTTACCTCTCAGAGCCACAACCTGAAACAACAGACACAAATTCCACTGCTTGTCTCCATGCTCCCAGTCAGACTGGTGGTCCTCAAAATGATCCACATTGCAAATTACTGCTGGAGACCCTGACACTTCACAGAAGTCATCCAAGCTCATTCCAGCCTTATTCCAGTGAAAAATAGGGTAGGATCATTACTGAAAACAGTTATGACTGGGACCAGGCAGGGGACCTATATCAGGAATGAGTTTAGCCAAGTATGTGGAAAAAAAATCAACTTACACTCAACAGCTTTAAAGCATTTACAAAATATTACTACTGACAGTGATTTCACATTTGTTAAAAGCCCAGGTTTAAAACTCACATGTATCACAACTGACTCATTTTCAGTTTTTTCAGGACGATGTAACAACTTCAGAGGCAAAAAACCTTTTTCCCCCATGGTTTCCTTTGGAAAATCAGAACATTTCCACAGAGAGAAAGAAATTTATATACCCAGTTATGAATTTAAATCCATATGATGCTATTTCTACAAACCCAGCTTTTCAGGGAGTGCTTTTATTCTTCTCCAAATGACTTTTTTCAATTTTTCTTCTGTCATTTCAGAACAGGGATCTGTAACCCCAGGAAGTTTTCATCATGCTACAGTAGCCAAACTATTAATTCTTTCCCAGTTTTGTTTTTCAAGGCACAAGACAAATATTGCTTTCACAAAGCTTTGGTAAATATTCCTGTACACAGAATGCAGCACAAGTGATACTTTGAATCTTGATACTTTAAATTTCCCTTCACATAACATAAAATGGAGCAAAATATGCATCCCCTCCTTCTGACTTTATACTTTCATTAGCAGAAAGCTTTTTCCCCAAATGCTATTAATCAACAAGTCTCATTTATTTAGAAAGCAAAAGAGTCTCATTTATTTAGAAAGCAAAAGAGGGGGGGGAAAAAAAAAAAGGAAATAAGGGGAATTGACCATTTCCACATGTGAAATGGCACAGAAATGCCCCTTCAGACATACCCTGAGACAACACAATGATGGAAGGAACAGAAAAATTGAATGAGAGTAGA